CATTTTCAATCTTTATCCTGGTGGGCCGGTCTCTAGTCAAAATGCCCGGGCCGATTTTTTGTCCCAGTCCAGCCTTGTCTGTGAGGCGTGAGCGGTGTTTGTTTTTAACATAGTTCACGGTGGAGCTGCTGACATAATGTGGATCCGAAGATTGATAATTAGCCTACCTGGGGTTGAAAGTCTCGATAAATGCACGGCGTTTCGGCGGGTATATCGGCTTCCGCAAGTGTGACGCTTATTTTGAGCGTTCAAAAACTAATAGAATATAATTTTATATTTATATTTCATTTCAATATCACAGTAATCTTCCAATTTAGAACTACAAGTTAAAAAAGAACTAACATAAATAAAATACACTTCAGCTAATTACTTAAAAAAATAATTTATTTTCCCAAACCACGCAGAGCCGCACTAAAAGGACTAAAGAGCCGCAGGTTGCTGACCCCTGCACTAACCTATTCAGCTGCTTGTGAATGCAAATATCTAATCAGCCAATCACATGCCAGAAAAAAAAGGGTGATTTAAGTGACTTTGAAGGCAGCATTGCTGTTGGTGACAGATGGGCTGTTTTACGTTTTTCAGACACTCCTGATCTTCTCAAATTTTCTCAGGAATTTACAGAGAACAGTCCAAACTGAAAAGCGAAATAAACATTTCCCTGGGTAAAAATGCCTTGTTGATTGCAGAAGTCAGAGGGGCGTGGCCATGCTGAAGGCAAGAGGAATTCTAAGCCAGTTTCTCAACCCAGCCCATCTGATATCAGTAACCACAACACATTCAAAGTCAATTAAAAGTCGCCTTTCTTGCCCGTTCCGATGCTCGCTTTCAACTTTGAAATGAGACCACTTGGACAACAGTAATGATAAATAATTGCAAATAGAGCACGTTTACAGAATTTAATGTCATTTTTATAGAGCACCTCTTATTTTAAGAAAAGATGGGCGAGACGATTTTTGAAACTAACTGCAAATTAAGCACACAATATTTAATATCTGTATTTTACCATTTTGATAAGACATATTTCAGTACTCCAAAACACTTTTATTAGACTGCCAACATGCTTACAAGTAGTAAATCCAGGTTAGTGGATCATAATTAAACATAACTCTGTGGCAAACGCAGAGTTCAGCAGGCCATCAAGGAAGAAGTGACGTGCATTTCTGCAGTGTAAAGATTCACAAATGATTTTCTCCTTAATCTACAGTCACACAAAGCGCCAGGAAAATCTTTGGTGATGTTCTCAGATGATTCTGACGCTTATCACCCAGTTCCTCCTGATGTCCTCCACACCATCAACCCTCTGTCCTCCTCCCAGTTTCTTCCTCAGCTTGCCTTTCTTATGGCCACCCCTTCCAAAACCTGACTTTTTAACTTCTCCGAGCCACTTTTTGTTCTTGGAGCGGAGCTTCCTCATCCCCCGCCCTGCAGGAACTGGTGCTTCTGCTTTTCTTGCGCTGCTTCATGATCTGATCCTTTGTTTTCAGCTCCGAGCGTGCTTTGTGGTCACCGGAGCTCTGTACGTTTGGACCTCGTCGGCCACGGCCACGACCTGGGAGAGGCACGACACAACAAAGAGGTTGGAGGTTATAGCTCGCAAGGCTGGAAGAGGGACTTGAAGTATTTACCTTTAGAGTTGAGTTAAAACATGGTGGCTGATGTTCTATATTTAACATGTTTGTGCTATTCATTTTGATGCCTTCCTACCTCTTGCTGGCTTCCTGCCTCCTCCGCCTGTTTCTCCATCTGATCCAGATCCTGTATCATCAATCTTGTATTTTTTCCTTCACTCCTCATAACTGACATGTTGTCAAGTGATACAACATCTTCACAGTACAGCTTAATATTGTCATAGGAGTAGAGAAGAGGGTCATTGAGAGCAGCACACAGAGAAGCTTTTTGTTGGAAGGATACAAGTTCTTCCTGTTCTTCTTGTTACTGATAACCTGACCGCTGTCTGTTTTGATCTTCTTCTTCTGGTCTTCTTTTCCCGTTTCTCTCACAAAACGCTTCCTCTTACGGTCCCTAAAAAAGAAGGGGGAAAAAAGACTTTAAATTATAGTTTGAAATGACAATTTGGTGGATACTGAGTCAAACATAGGGAAATTTGTACCATTTCATCATTTTCTTCTGCTGGTTAAGGCGATCGCCTTCATCTCCCATGAGATCAAGGACAGCTGAAGAGGCCTGCTGTTCAAAAGCACTGCCCTCTCCACCGAGACTCAACCTGTCGACGCATAACACAGGACAAAACAGCATAAAACACAAAGCCATTCACATTTTTTAAAGAAACAGATGCAACAGTTTAATGCCTCACCCTCTCTCAGAGTCAAAGTCTTTAGGTCTGTAAGGGATATAATACTCTTCATCTTTCCCTGACTGCCTCTTTTTCTTGGTCTTTGGTCACTCTTCGCCATCTTCCTGCTGACCTCTTCTTTTACCACCTACCACCTCTGAAAACACCCCCTGGTGGAAATAGAAAGAATTACATGGTACAAAGTGACAAAGCATGATACAGAGATCCTACTATCTTCCTCTTCTAGTTTGTATACAACATCATCTACATCAAAACTGCACTTTATTTTGCTTCTTCTTCATCAGACAGCACAAACAACTTTCTCATTTTGACTCAAATATTGGTTTTGAATGAAAATGATGAAACAATCCTGGGTGTTTATTCAACTTGTGAGCAGGTTTTCTAATCCACCGTACGATTATTATTGACACTAGTACATGTTCGTGCTGCTGGCAAACTAATACACTCAAGAACATATAGCAAAGCAAAAAAGTGAAAAGTAGGTCTTGCCTACATAAATAAACATAAGACAGTTGTGAAACTTTGACATAGTAACATCTGCAGTAATATTTACACCTGTGATGACATCTCACCAGCATTAGCCTTATTTTGAAACCAAGATTGTTTACACAGAGTTTGTAATTGCAGAGAAATGCTCCATTTATTTTGGTCATTTCATTTTTGAGCAGGAAGCTCACCTTTCTTGTTATAGCCTTTAGACGAATAGAGAGTTTTCCAATTAAATACATATTCTTTAAATAATGTTCCCTCTTATAAAAAGTAGGATAATTTAAAAAAAAATTTAAAAAATGTATTATACCTCTATTACTTAGAAAAAAAACTGTTTTTTTTCTGTTGTCTGTTATATAACGTTAGTGATGCTCGTTTCAATTCATTTCTTAATCAGCTAAACAGGTCAGTTAAGAAACAGTCAAATATTAAGTTAAATTTGAAAACGGTTTAAAAAAAAATATCCCCATTCCAAAATGTCACATGACAATCTCATTGGCTCACGGAGTTATGATGTCACTACACGATCCTTTGAAGTTTTTCCTTAAACAGGGGTGACACACAGCAGTTTTTAGTTCGTGTCTTCGCAGCATTTGTGTTTGCAGCCTTCACACGTTCACCACAGAAACTTTTGGAAACCTTTTCAGAGTTGTCGTGTACAACCTTCAACATGTATCCAACAAGACACCAACCAAGGCAAAAAGATTACGCCGCTTCTCCTTCCTGTCGTGGCCGGCCAATTTCCCCAAATGACCTCTTAGCCGTCCAAAGGGCATTACATGACAGTAAGAAGGAAAACTACCATCTCCAGAATAAAATTCAACAGATTGAAGAAGAGAAACTTCAACTGGAGGAGAAGTGTAGACAGATGGAAGCGCAAAATAAGAACCTGGAAGAAAGACAAAAACGCCAGCCCGACATAAATATTATTAATGAGGGTTGGGGAATCAAGTTTGGACAAGCCCGAGAGCAGATTGTCTTCCTAATTAAGGAAAACAAGCAAAAGAGCGTGGAACTAAAGGAGATGTCCAACCAGCTTAAAGACAGCAAAGCTACTGTTGAGAAGACAGAATGGGATCTCCAATATATGGACCAAATGAATCGGCTGCTCCAAACAAACTTCGATGAAGCTGTGAAAAAAAATGAAGAAATCCTCCAACAGAAGGAAGAACAGGAGAAAAAGCAAAGAGACATGGAGCACAAACTCAAAGTCACGGAGGAAAAATACAGAATGCTGAAAGAGAAGGTGGATGATACTCTGCGCCAAAATAAAGACCTTCTTCACGAGAAAAAGCAACTAGAAGGGGAAAAAGAAAAACTGGACAAACAATGCTCGCACATGCAGAAAAGGATGGAGCAAATGGCGAGAAACAACTCCGAGCTCACTAAGGGGATATTGTTGGAATACAACAACTTGAAGCGCAAACACACTGAAATGCAGGCGCAAAAGCAAGAACAAGACAACATACATGACGACCTGCAGCGTACGCTCCAAGATATCCACAAAAGAAATGAGGAGCTACAAGACATGTACAAAGAAGTACAACAAAGAAACGCAGACATGCACAAGGACAAGATAATGCAGGAGGAAACATCCAAAGAGCTCAGGGAAAAGCTTGAAGAAAAACAAGCAACGTTGGAAGAGGTGGAGAAAACGTGCAAGAAGCTTGAGAAACAAAACAAAGAAACCATCGATGAGTTGAGAACCCTCATCCTGGAAAAAAAAGCTCTTGTAGAAAACTGCATGAAAAAGAAGAACAAACGCTTCCGCTGGCCCTGGAGGAGGAACTCTACTGCTTCCTCAGCAGGTGTAGCCTCGTCTTGCTCCACCTCTGTTCACCTCCCCAACCAGTCCCGGCAGTTGACTGTCCCCTCCTGAGCCTGGTTCTGCCGGAGGTTTCTGCCCGTTTAAAGGCAGTTTTTCCTCCCCACTGTCGCCTAGTGCGTGCTCAGAGGGGATTGTTGGGGTTTTCTCTCCTCTACCTTGTTTCATTATTTACTTAACGTTTTGTTCTTACTTCATTTTACCTTGTTTCATTATTTACTTGTTAACGTTTTGTTCTTACTTCATTTTACCTTGTTCATTATTTACTTGTTGACGTTTTGTTCTTACTTCATTTTACCTTGTTTCATTATTTACTTGTTGACGTTTGTTCTTACTTCATTTTACCTTGTTTCATTATTTACTTGTTTAACTTTTTCTTTTTCAACTTATTCATAAAACAATAAACCAATTGAATTTATCCTTTGAGTATTTTTCATCTTTTCATCTATAACTTTTCAAACATTCATATCTGTCATTTATCTTCTTCTTGAAACCTCATAAATGGTGAAGGAAAAATCCTGGAACATGGTTTGAAACACTGAAATTGTTTCAGCTGAAACCGGCAAAGTCATACGTGTGTGTGTGTGTGTGTGTGTGTGTGTGTGTGTGGTGTGTGTGTGTGTGTGTGTGTGTGTGTTACTCTGTACATGAAACAACTTTGTAGAAAACCATTTTCCTGTCGAAACATTAGCAAACACAAACAAAGTGTTATTAACAAACGAATTACTAATATCCCTCTCTATGATAGTGATTTATTTTCTTACGGGATTAAAACTGTAAATTTTACCAAACTAAAGAAAGTAATACAAAGTAATAAAACTTTTTATCATTTAGTTAAGATCCAACATCCATTCTTTTCATAGTTGGTTGCTACCACCAGAGGGCGACATGGAGTACTTTTACCCATGTAGAGAAACATAAACGCTCATATATTACACACGCACCAACATTTTACTGTCTATTACTACATCAGTCTGTTTACATTAAACTGATATTGATAAATAAACTCACAAATATAGCTTCATGAATTTGGTAACGTCCTGTAAGTCATATCGTCAAATGCTTTTGTTCCAAAATAAAAAGGCTGTTGAAATAATGATTGGTGTGGTTTTTACAGGTGAATGAGCAGCAGAATAACTACAGAGAATCTGTGAATACATGAATGACCTTTTGTAATATGCCTTTAGCCTATTAGTGCCCTGAAAGAGTGGAGATTTTACCTATTTTAGCAAAATGATCTACAAACTGTATGGGTGAATATAGGAGCTTGTTAACAGGTTAGCATGTCCAACTAACAGACAGGAAATGAGCTATGTATTTTTAGATATCATGTTATCAGCTGACCACTGAAAGCTCTTTCTGCATATATCTTCTACACGTTCTGTCTCTTGTCACGTGTGTGTTTATATTTAAATCATGTATGTTGATTATTTAAATATGCTTTTTCATTCATTTTTAAAAAATGTCAACAGCTGTCGTTTACAGATTCATTGTTTACTATATGCTATATATATATATATGAACATGAACAAAACTGAAAACACTGGGTCACCGACCCAGGAACCCTGACAATATGTATTTTACCTGGTTAATGTGTGTGGCGGGGCGTGGTCTGCAGCGCCGCTGCAGGGGAGGCGGACGCACCTGAGCGGCACCCGCGATCACGCCTCGGCGCCTTAACGTCTGTGCTCTCTATGCTGTTGTGTTGGTATGTGTCGGGCTGTGAGCTTTAACACCGGCTGTATGCATACAGCAACCGTGTGTGAAAAGTGGTCAATAAAGAGAAGCTGTAAAGCGTGTTCATGGAAACATCGTTGGGTCTGCCGTGATATGTTTACAATGGGACTTCTGCTCCTGAATCTCTGCGCACAGCGTCTGCAAATCGGAGCTGTATGAAGTCACTTTCATCTTTACGCAGGACTGTAAGCTGTCATCTGTGAGGCGTGAGCGGTGTTGTTTTTAACATAGTTCACGATGGAGCTGCTGACATAATGTGGATCCGAAGATTGATAATTAGCCTACCTGGGGTTGAAAGTCTCGATAAATGCACGCGTTTCGGCGGGTATATCGGCTTCCGCAAGTGTGACGCTTATTTGAGCGTTCAAAAACTACAGTTTTTCTGAATGCTTAAACCCTAACTGTGATTCCTGTAGCACAATCTCTAAAACTATTCAGACTTATAGCAAAACCACTCACTGAGTTTGCAAAACTAAAAGCACATAAACTGCTTTGCAGTTTGCAATTTTGTAACACACACTTGCAAAACGGTAGGCACAATTCACTGCACAACACTCAATTACCAAATTTCCAACACACTCCTAGCAAAAGTATACACATGTATGGCTATCATTAACACTAATTTGCCAACTGTCTGGCACACTTTCACATGTGAAAACTTTTTTAGATAATTAGTTCACTTTGCAATCAGCCTAAGCACTATAATACAGGTAAGCTGTGTGTGCGGAGTACAATGGAGGGAGCAGAAAGAGTGAGAAGTAGAGGAGGCCGAGGAAGAGGACGTGGAGGTGAAGAAGTAGGATGAAGAGGACGACAAGGACAAGGAGAGCAAGAGGAAGACGAGGAGGGGGAGAGGAAGATGAGGAGGGGGAGAGGAAGGGTAGGAAGAGTAAGAAATAGAATTGCTGATGACAATAGTGGACCATGTAATCAACCATGTAATCAACCGTGGAATGACCCTGAGGGTAGCTGGCCAACGGGTCCAGCCTAACTCGAGCCGCTACACTGTAGCAAGTACCATAAGGACATCTTGAAATGAGAATCGGTTAGTACAGTCACTTCGCACAAAGATTTGTAGCACTGCCATATGCCAATGAGAAACACACCAATACCATTGATGTAAAATACTGAAATTGTTACTTTACAGAATTGCTAGATGACCAGATGCTGGGGCAGAGGAAGCATGTTCACTGCAGACCAAGTAACCCATATAGTCATTATGGCGATTGCAAATAATCCTATACTTGGAAATGAACACTTGTGTTTGTTTTGATGTGTTTCAAGTACACCAGTACTTGAAGTTTGGATCCCTCTATGCTTATGGATCTATGACAGAAGTATGAGCTCAAACTGACATAGCCTACCTTGTGCACAGAGAAAGCAAAAGCCAGATGTGTTTGTATTCATACCATCAGTGTGCAGTTGGCGCATTGTGTGCTTAGTAGATGATGGCTTGTGTGTACTGTTTGATACGGAAACACCATTTTACGAAGGTGTGAAGAGTTAATCTAGCTGTGTTTGCTTTTGCAAGAGAACTACAATTTTTGATTATTGGGTGACAGGTTTTCTTATTTGTGTGAAGAGTTTTGCAAAATTAGCCAATAGTTACAAAAAATGTGCTTAGGCATTCAGAAAAAAACTGTAATAAACTAAAAGACAGAAATCAGATTATAAGATCTGTGGTGTTGTTGATTTATATTATGGTACTTATC